TTCTCCAATAAAAAAAGGAATTGTAGGACAACCAAGGATTTATATTTCAAAGCATTATTATTCTGAAGAATGACACTTACTTGTTCGGTTAAAAAGACTTTCTTTTTCACATTTAGTTTCCTCTTCATAGTGCATAGATCTTTCAAAAAATTAGCATAGGAAGGAACCTGTTTAATAGCATCTAGTAAAGGTATATTAATCCTTACATGTTTGAAAGTTTTAAAGATTTTAAAGTTGTGATTGACTTTCCTTTATTTGGTTATGGCATGAGGAAATGGAAGTACTAGTGGGGAATTAGTCTTTTCTTTGCTAATTTTAGATTCAACCCCTTCCTTACCCTTAGAGATTAACTCATCATCTTTTTCACAAGGTTCAATAGTGCATTTTTCAATAACCATACTACTGTGAAAAATCGTGACTGATTTGACTTGATCCATGTGTTGGCTTCCGAAACTACTTGCATTTGCATTGTATTGCCCCTTGAGATTTTGTTGTGGTTGGATGGAAACTTACCTTTCTCTTGGAAATTGAGCGCAAATGCTAATTTTGCAAGAGTATCTTTAAAATCTGTCATGTTTTGAGCAAGTTGAGTATTAATTATCTCTTACTTTTCAATGAATGCATGCAATATTTCCTCAAGATTTCTTCTAGGAAGTGGAGCATAAGGAGGTGCATATCCATAAGAATTTTGAAAATTATGGTATGCTTGAAATGGTGGTTGTGAAGTTTGTACATTGTTATTATTACTCTTCCAACTGAAATTTGGGTAATTTCTTCAACCAGGGTTGTATGTTTGCGAGTATGGGTTATGGTTGGGCTTTTGGAAACAGTTTAAAGCATGGGTTTGTTAATAGAGACATTTCATAAAACAAAGTTATATACAAGAAAAGTGAAAAGAGAAAATAAAATAAATACTATAATTTGTACAACTTACCTCCCCGGCAACGACGTTGAAAACCTGACATGACTAAAAAATTGATATCTTCTCCTAAGTACAGGAGTGTCGAAGTAATAAATAACTCGGTAAGACTAGGGTCAAGCCACATGGAGGTTAATTGTATAAATTATAGATGACAACAACAACAACAACAACAACAATAGTAGTAGTAGTAGCAGTACTACTACTACTACTACTAATAAAGAAGAAGAAGAAGAATAATAATAATAACAACAACAACAACAACAAATATTAAGGTTAGAGATTCCACTAATTGTATGTCAAACAAGTATAGTATAAACTCTTATTATTCAATTAGAAACCACACACAAAGGAGGTTCCAATCAGATTATAAATTATTAATATGATTACATTAGTTACCTTATTCGATTAATGCTAATACTTGTAAATATTGTCAGGCATCTATGCTTATAACTTATATTAACCACAAATCAGGTTCCTTTCATAGCTTAGGTGTCAGTTATACCATATAGTATGAGCTATGAGAGTGCTAAGTATTTATTGTACCAAGTTTAGACAATATCAATTTAGATTAGTTATTTAACAAGCAAAGTATTAAACAGTAAACAAGATAACAAATACAAAACATATTAGTTTCAAATATTAAAGTCCATATTAAGTTTACACTATACTTATTCTGACCCTATTAGTATAACCTTTTCACCTTAACATAATAAACTTAACTAAAGATAATGAATGAAAGAAAAATAAATAAACAAGATAAGAACATAAATAAGAAAATGAATTGAAAGGCATAAACTTGATATTAATGAAAGCAAAACTTAAGCATTACAAAAATACAAAGAGAGAAAGCAAGAGAATGATCTTGATCTGAAAACCAAGATGCCTAAATGCATGGCAAATGCCTCCTTTTATAGGCCAAAATTAGAAACTATTGATTTGATGACTAATTGATGAGTGGTTAACCAACTCTTGGCTTTGGTGACAATCCTTATCTTCTATTTTCTGCCCAAAACATCATTAATAATATCAGAATTGGAACCATTTGAAAACATGAAAGTTGTAGAAACTTGTCTCAGCTTTCCAAGAAAAAAAAATGGAGGTTATTTGGACTTCCAAAACTCTAGATATGGGCTAAACACGGAATAGTGCTCGGGCTATAGGACATATTCGAACTTCTTTATTGTTGCTATACTTTGGACTTGAAAATGACATTTTTAAATCTTAGGCTCCATAAAAGTTGTAGGCTTATGTCTTACCTTTCTATCCATATAAAGTAGACCTAAATTCGAGATCTACAACTCCAGATATAACCCAATTACCGAATAGTGTTCCGGTTTGGACTGCATCAATATCTGTTTTCTAAGTTTGGCCATCTCTTTGTCCTTTCAATTTCAGTTCTTAAACTCATCAATTAATCCTTTCATTTATGTCATAGGCCTGCATTTAAAATGAACATTTACCACAAATTAAAGGTATCTTATAATATTAGATATGTTATTATAAAACATGCTTTAGTTAAGGAGTTATTGATACTTCAAATGTAAAATGATGATATAAACCATGATAAAAATACACTTTTAAGTACTAATTAGCGATCAAGAAAAGGCATATGCGCCCATTTGCAATGCTGCCTCCTCCAGCACTGTTTCATAGCGCAGAGGCGGTGTGCTTTCACAGTGGGGTCAATTCACTCGCAAGTACCAAACATAAGGGAAGGACGATCATTCAACATAAGTTTGTTTCGGTTTTAGTTTTTTTGTACTTATAACAAAATTTATGAACAACTAATTAATATTTTATTATTTTTATTTATTGTCAGGTTCACAGGCATTTAGACCGCTCGAGTAATAACATTGGTGTTTAAATTGTTGATGGAGATTCTATTATTTCAATGGAGTCAACTTTCCAAACATCTTGATTGGAAACTTTATATCGATGCATGGTTTCGAAGATTATAGGTAGGTGTTAATTTATAATTTGTAGCTTATCTTTAAGAAATTATTTTTATAATCTTATATCTCGTACTATTTTTATTTTAAATAACTTATTTATACACAACACAAGTTCGAGTGGGATAGCACACATGACAATGTTGCGAAGAGGGTGTGGGAGAATCACGTGGCATATAGGTAACATCGAAAGCAATACAATTTTTTATTTTAAAATTTATTTTGTCACTATGGAAGTAGGTTGTGTGATTTTTGGTATGACACATAAAAAAGGCTAGAAAATATATGAGATAATGGTCTATAAGGCTGAAATAATATGGTGGTTTGGAGGGATTTCAATCCACCATACATCTTGGGGGATATATGGCCACAATATATTGAGCACGTGATGTTTGAGCAGTTCGCACGACGCTTACAGTCCGGTGCCAACAACTAGAACCAACAAATTCATGGGTTGGTGACCACGCACATTAGCAGCTCCATTTCGTATACTTGCAACATTTTTTTTCTTCTTATAGGCTACGTTTCTTGGATGTGAGCCAAGCCTAATGGAGTTGTTTGTAAAGACGAACGTGCGAAGTGAAGACCACCAAAAGAGGGGCAACAATTCGAGGACAACCGTGCTCAACATTTCATGGTATGTTTGTTCAATTATTTTATTTCATAAGTTATTATTTTCTTAAATTGAATAAGATGAATTTTTTTTTTAAATTTTCAGGAGACCTATAATAGCTGGTTGAGGGAGAGATACATGGATGATTCTTCGACCCAACCAAATTTCAATCCAGATTTGTGGATGCAGGTAGGATCGTCTGTTGAACCCAATAAAAAAAAGGTGTACAAGCTCTCCAATACTACGACTAAGAACTTACGGGTGGCTCATAGTGTATCAATCGTTGAGAGCTTCCAATTAGTATCAAGCACCCAGTTCGAGGAGTTCATAGCCTTAAAACAACAATATGAGTGACTTTCAACGAATTATGAATAACTCAGCTAAATGATCATAGATATTAGATCACATATTGGTGATACATATGCGCCTTTTTTTTCACCATTTAGTCCCGGGAGCGACCAGCTTCCTCCTCCTCTTTCTCCTTCTCCTCATTCATCTCCGACATTGTTCTAGTTTAATCTTTTTTGGAAACACATTAAATTTGTAATGAATATTTAGATGAATATTATTTAACTTTATTTTTATATTTTAATGTTTCATACAATTTTATTTGCATAATTGATATTTTATAGAGAGTTGAAAATTATTTATTATAAATGTCACTATCATTAATATCTAGACCAATGGCCAAAGACCATCGGTATTTAATAGAGAGTTGCAAAATATTTATTGTCTATGTCACATTTACTAACAAAACTTTTCCGTCAATGAGTTACAACTATTACAAATTGAATTATTCTGTCAGTATATTTTTAATAAAAATTTGTTTTTGGCACGTATTTTTAATCTGTATGATTGTTGGTGTTTATTTTTTTTATTGAGAGAATTAGAGAAAAAAGAAAAATTACCGACTATCTAAATGACGACAGATAGTTTTTGTACGTGGCTCTTACCGACAAAGCGTGTTTTTTATTCCGACGAAACAAATCCATTGATAAAACCGTTAATGGCCGCGTCCCCATCATGATTCGCATTGATCCTGTCCATAATCACCACCACAAGAGCCACTATGAAGGCATGATCAACATTAGGCATAATCGCGAGAGTGTGTCTTCCATGCACCTGCGTTCACATAATAAGAAAAACACTGGCATGAGATATTAATTATGAAGACAACTTTCTTGATTAAAAAAATAATCGGTTTTAATGTAAATGATGAAATCTGGGGTATTTCTACAACAGCCTCAGCCTCAGCCTCAGCCACAGACATATAGAATATATTAAAATGATGAAAATATTATAAAGATAAAATTAATTTTATATCTTATTATATAAATTTTGACCACTCCAATAGATAATCCTAGCTCCGCCTGCATATAGTTTTGTATGGAAAGATGGTGTTGGTTAAATTAATTCAATATTGTCATATTTCATAAATAAGTTTTGTTAATGTTACTTGTGCAAGCATGGTATTGGAATCTCCAAGAAGTATAGAGCAGGAACTCTTTCTGTAGCTTTCCTTGACCTTGAAATCAGGGACCTCTCTTTTGTTATAACCCATGAATACGTCTAACTCAGTCTTGAATTGGAACAGCTTTGATTTCTTGGCTGTGGAAAGCAAATCATTCTTCTCCTTGCTTTCTCCTCTAAAAGCCTCCCACCTCCCATGCATGGTCATTATCTGGAGAAAATGATAAATTAAACACGCGCTAAGAAATTGATGTCGGACTAACTCTTATCGTTGTTGTGATGGTTAGATTGAAAAAGAAGAGAACAAATGACAGAGAGCAATTAAACATACCTTCTGCCTGAGATTGACAAGGGTGTTACCGGCTGCATCTTTCAGAAAACGACGATCATGGAGGCTTAATAGTTTACTTTTGACCTGGAAGATGAGGGTGCCATTAATGTCAGACACCTTAAAATCACTGTTGACGGCGAGCTCAACAGGGTACTGTGCCAGGTACTGTGGCCCTATTACCACCACTGGATGCTCCACTGGCGGGAATGTTCTCATAGCTGGAACGGGGTTGAATGGTGCTTGCCCAGTAGCCATAATCACAGAAACAAAATATTACTCGAAGAGATAAACAGAAAGAAAAATAGCTAAATTTCTATGTTATGCAAGTCTTGATGATGGTTATAGAAGTAGTCTTTGCGAGGGATGATGTACGTATTTTATAGTGCCAATGAGCCCTGTATCATGTCCTTAAATAAAACAAAAAAAGGCCCCGTCCTTCTTCCGAAGTTCAATTTTGCGTGTAAACAAAGACTTCGTTTTTTTGGCAGCGAGGGAGGGGGGAGGCGGAGTCTTTGGTTGGATCGGGAAAAATGTTATGGCGTGTAAATATTAGGGCTGCAACGAGTGAAAATGACAAAATCCTTTAAGTTAAAAAAATTATTTATAACTTCATATTTTTTTCTTTCCATGTAAATATTTTTAAAGTCAATCGACAACAAATATATTTATTACTAGAAGGGCCCATCTATTTAAATATTACATCTTCTCACACTATCATTAAGCAATAAAAAACTAACCTAAGAATCAGTCATTATATGTTTTTTTTTTGCAAAGGCCTGACCCCTGCTTACCTCTTCTTGATTCCACCCTTAGGTGGCCTGTATTATGCCACGGGCTCACATTTTATTTTCTTAAAAAGTTAGATTTTGATGTTGGCAGGACCCAAGACTATTTAGATCCTGTACACGCAGGACCTAAGTCTATTTTGAGTCTTGTACTGCCAACGACCCAAGACTATTTTGAATTTTGCAATATACAAGTTATAGTTGGGTCTTGGTGTACCCAAGAGCCACATGTGTGTTAGGGTGTGCCATGTTACTAGATAGACAATTCAAGTAACATGACTAAAAAATTAATATTTTTTTTTTAAGTGTAAAAATATCAAAATAATTACCGACTATCTAAATGACGACAGATAGTTTTTGTACGTGGCTCTTACCGACAAAGCGTGTTTTTTTTTTCCGACAAAACAAATCCATTGATAAAACCGTTAATGGCCGCGTCCCCATCATGATTCGCATTGATCCTGTCGATAATCACGACCACAAGAGCCACTATAAAGGCATAATCAACATTAGGCATAATCGCGAGAGTGTCTTCCATGCACCTGCGTTCACGTAATAAGAAACATACTGGTATGAGATATTAATTATGAAGACAACTTTCTTGATTAAAACAATAATCTGTTTTAATGTAAATGATGTAATGAAATCCATTGATAAAACCGTTAATGGCCGCGTCCCCATCATGATTCGCATTGATCTTGTCGAGAATCGCCACCACAAGAGCCACTATGAAGGCATAATCAACATTAGGCATAATCGCGAGGGTGTGTCTTCCATGCACCTGCGTTCACATAATAAGAAAAGCACTGGCATGAGATATTAATTATGAAGCCAACTTTCTTGATTAAAACAATAATCGGTTTTAATGTAAATGATGTAATGAAATCTGGGGTAATTCTACTACAGCCTCAGCCACACACATATATAGATTATATTAAAATAATAAATATATTATGAAGATAAAATTAATTTAATCGTTTTAATTTAATATTTAATTTGGTATTGTTCAACTTTTATCTTATGTAAATATTATTATATATTTGTAACTTTTTTATAACTGATGTACAATAAATTAAAAAATATTATATTTTATTATATTAATTTTGGCCCTGCCCACTGCATATAGTTCTGTTCTGTATGAGGAGATGGAGTTGGTTAAACTTATTCAATATTGTCATATTTCATAAATAAGTTTTGTTAATGTTTCTTGTGCAAGCATGGTATTGGAATCTCCAAGAAGTATAGAGCAGGAACTCTTGCTGTAGCCTTCTTTTACCTTGAAATCAGGGACCTCCCCTTTGTTATTACCCTAGAATACGTGCACTGAGGGGTTTGGTTTAGCGGTGAAGGGTCTTGTCTCCTTCCACTGCATATGGGTTCGAGCCCTGACGTGCACGTCTATCACTCCCGCGGTGCCTTACCTGTCTGCTGGGTTTGCAGGGTATTCAGTGGATCATGAGGATTAGTCATGGTACGCGTAAGCTAGTCTGAACACCCCACGTAAATCAAAAAAAAAGAAAAAAGAATACGTCTAACTCAGTCTTGAATTGGAACAACTTTGATTTCTTGGCTGTGGAAAGCAAATCATTCTTCTCCTTGCTTTCTCCTCTAAAAGCCTCCCACCTCCCATGCATGGTCATTATCTGGAGAAAATGATAAATTAAGCACGCTATAAGAAATTGATATCGGATTGACTCTTATCGTTGTTGTGATGGTTAGATTGAAAAAGAAGAGAACAAATGACAGAGAGCAATTAAACATACCTTCTGCCTGAGATGGACAAGGGTGTTGCCGGCTGCATCTTTCAGAAAAAGACGATCATGGAGGCTTAATAGTTTACTTTTGACCTGGAAGATGAGGGTGCCATTAATGTCAGACACCTTAAAATCACTGCTGACGGCGACTTCAAGAAACAAAATATTACTCCAGAAAGAAAAATAGCTAAATTTCTATATTATGCAAGTCTTGATGATGGTTATAGAAGTAGTCTTTTGGAGGAATGACGTACGTATTTTATAGTGCCAATTAGCCCTATATCATGTCCGTAAATAAAACAAAAACAAGGCCCTGCCCTTCTTCCAAAGTTCAATTTTGCGTGTAAACAAAGACTTTGTTTTTTTTGGGGTTGTGTGGAGGCGGAGTCTTTGGTTGGATCGGGAAAAATGTTATGGCGTGTATTCGACCAGAAGGGTCGGTCTCAACTTATACAAGCTGTGCCTTAGCTCCATCAACACATTGCTCCAACTCGAGTCTTATAAATGGTTCAGAAATCAATGAATTACCCTAAAACCAAGACCCCAGTTGATTCTTTTTCAAGCTGATTTGTTACAGTAGTTTACTAGATTCTTTTTCAAGCTGATTTGTTATAGTAGTTTACTAGGTAGGTGGTTAAAGTAATGAAGTTAATTTTATCTTCATAATATATTTATCACTTTAATTTTATTAGTTTTTATACCAATGAAATATAAACATACAAAATATATAAGAAATATTAGATAAATCAAAACATTATATATGTTTGATAAACTTTGAAATAAAATAAAAAATAATAAAGAATGATTCTTACATATTTATTTTAATAAAAAAAAAATCCAAGTATAATTAAAACAAACTAATAAAATATATCTAATTAATTAGAAAAAAACATCACTATAATAAGAATTAATTTTTTTTTTGGTAAAACTAGCAAATTAGATCCGGGAAAAAAAACAAAAAGAAGCAAAAATAATAAAATTATTAAAAAACCTCATCAAATTCTTAACAAATATCCCAAAATAAGACATAAATAAATTTTAAGTTTAGGGTTAACGATGTTTAATTCCTTTGATTTGTTTGACAAAAGAAGAATTAAATGGTGGCGCTCTACTTCAATTTTTCTATTTACAATTTATATTCTTATTTTAGTATTTTATCTTTTATATTATGGCTGCAACAAGTAAAAACAACAAAATCCTTTAAGTTAAAAAAGTTATTTATAACTTCATATTTTTTTCTTTCTACTTAGATAGTTTTAAAGTCAATGAACAACAAATATATTTACTAGTAAAAGGGCCCATCTATTTAAATATTACATCTTCTTACATTATCACTAAGCAATAAAAAACTAACCTACTAGATCAGTCATCATATGTTTTTTCTATAAGGGTCTGGCCCTGCTTGCCTCCCCCTTGATTTCACCCTTGGCGGGCTTACCTTTTATCTTCTTAAAAAGTTGAATCTTGATATTAGTAACACGATTGAAAGCTTGATGTCTTCTTCCAAGTGGAGGAGTGTCAAAGTAATAAATAACCCGGCAAGACCGGAGTCGAACCACAGGGAAGTTAATTATACAAATTATAAACAACAAAAATAGTAACAACAACAACAATAATAATATTAGTAGCAATAATAATAATAATAATAATAATAATAATAATAGTTAAGAAGAAGAAGAAGAAGTTAATGAGAACTTTGAGATGAAAGATTAACCTAAAGATTAAATAATGATAAAAGCAAATATCAAGGTTAGAGGTTCTACTAATGGTATGTTAAACAAGTATAGTATAAACTCTTATTATTGAATTGGAAACCACACACAAAGAAGGTTCCAATCAGATTATAAATTGTTAACATGATCACATTAGTTATCTTATTCGATTAATGCTAATACTCGTAAATCTCGTTAGGCATTCATGATTATAATTTATGTTAACAACAAATCAAGTTCCTTTCATAGCTCAGGTGTCGGTTATACCATACAGTATGGGTTATGAGAGTGCCAAGTATTTGTTGTACTAAGTGTTATACAACATAAATCTAGATTAGTCATTTAACAAGCAAGGTATTAAAGAGTGAACAAGATAACAAATACAAAACATGTTAGTATCAAACATTAAAGTCCATATTAAGTTTCTACTATACTTATTCTTACTCCACTAGTGTAACCTTTTCACCTTGACATAATAAACTTAGCTAAACATAATGAAAGAAAGAAAAATAAATAAACAAAATAAGAACATAAATAAGATAAAAGTTAACTAAGTAAATGAAAAGAAATGAAAGGCATAAACTTAATATTAATAAAAGCAAAGCATAAACATTACAAAAAATACAAAGAGAGAAAACAAGAGCATGATCTTGATCTAGAAACCAAGATGCCTAAATGCATGGCAAATGCCTCCTTTTATAGGCCAAAATTGGAAACTATTGATTTGATGACTAATTGATGAGTGGGTGACCAACTCTTGACTTGGTGACAATCCTTATCTTCTCTTATCTGCCCAAAACGTCATTGATAACATCAAAATTAGAGTCATTTGAAAAATAAAAGTTGTAGGAAATTGTCTCAACTTTCCTGTTTAAAACATTCAGGTCATTTGGACTTCTAGAACTCCAGATATGAGCCAAACACTGAATAGTGCTCGGGTTGGAAGACAAATTCGAACTTCTTTGTTATTGCTATAATTTGGACTTCAAAGTAGCCTTTTTAAGTCTTAGCTCCATATGAAAGTTGTAGGCCTATGTCTTACCTTTCCATCCATATAAAGTAGACCTAAATTTAAGATCTACAGCTCTAGATATGACTCAATTACCAAACAGTGTTCTAGTTTAGATTGTACCTACATCTCTTTTCTAAGTTTGGCCATCTCTTTGTCCTTTCAATTTCAGTTCTTAAATTCATCAATCAATCCTTTCATTTATGTGACAGGCCTGCATTTAAAATAAATATTTACCACAAATTAAAGGTATCTTATATTATTAGATATATTATTATAAAACATGTTTTAGTTAAGGAGTTATTGATACTTCAAGTGCAAAATGATGACATAAAATCTTGATAAAAAAGGCACTTTTAAGTACTAATCACACCCCCAACCAGCTTATTACTATTCTCTAGTAATCAAAGCATTAAAATAGAAAAACAATTTGTAAATTCCACAAAGCAAGGTATTTATCATTCAACTTCCATTAATATATCCAGATAAACAAACTCTCATTAAATTTATATATCTGCTCAATACCTCTTAACAAGATATTAATAAACCTTTTTTTTGTGCTCAATATATCAACACATAATTATGGGGCTTTTCTTGGAAGAAAACAAAATTTTTGTTCTAATGTTTAAGGTTAACTTCCTTGGGTTGAGATTATTATTATTTTTTTATTTTTTTTTATTTTTTTAATATATATACATATAACTTAAAACACCATGCATCTTTAACCCATGTAACGAGCTTTCGACTAATGACTCCCAGACCAGTTGGTCTTAGGGCATTAGGTATTGAGACACCCCTACGAGTTTAGTAACTCGGGTTGCAGATACTGATACGTAGATAGTGCAATGTTTAATTCCCTTAAACTTTCCTCTTCAACCCATGTAACAAGCGTTGGGCCAATAGCTCCCAAGTCAGTTGACTTTAGGGTATTGGGTGTTAAAACACCCCTTCGGGCTTGATTGCTTGGGTTAGGGAGGCTACGAAACCAAACTTATCTACATTTTTATTATTATCATTATTTGTTCTCTATTTTTTTGGGTTTTTTTTTTTGTTTTTTTTTCAAATTATATACTATCCCTTTCCCTTGGTTGTTACCTTTAACAAAAAAACTTAATTAATGTAATAATCCAATGTGCAACCCACAATCATATGTTAAAGTGTGTGTGTGAAAATTAAGGTTTATGAATGCATGTTAAATCAGTATATGAGCATAATTAAGTGATAGTAATGTGAGAGTTTGTAAACCTGAATATTTCAAGAAGTTTTATGATAGATCTTATTAAGAATGGTTACTAAAATGTGTCTCAATAGTCATAAAAAGATCTCATTTACTCTGTCATCCTAGTAATAACAATTTTGCACATGCTTTATGAAATGGAAAACAATTTTTTTTTATTTTTTTTATCAACTACTACCCTCTCCCCCCAATCAAAACGAGACATTGTCCTTAATGTGCTAAGGTAGAAAGATAGAGTATAGAAGATATCACCTGAAATAACAAACACTGATAAACCTGAAACACACTTAAACAAAAATAAAAAAATAACAAAACACAATACTAAACAAAAAGACACAAAAATTCACAAATGAAGACTCAAATCTAATCTAAGATTTTTACGGCTTTCTTTAGATGACCAATTTATGCGACTCATGGAGGGATCAATTACAAGAATTAAAGATTGTAGTTGGTTAATCAATTATTCAGCAGTAGTAGCAGAGATTATGATTTGTCGTGCAGAAGATGTTAGAATTCTTGTTCCACAGCATGATCAAGAAAAGACAACAACTTATCATAATAACCATTAACATTTAACAGACCTATGGGTTTATGGTGAATGTGCAGTTGGGCCCAAGAGGAAATATGAAAGATCTCTTCCAATATACCTAGACCACCTGGTAAAGCAATGAAGGCATCAGCATGGTTAAACATTGCATTCATTCGAGCCGACATTGTGGAGACCTGAAGTTCCTTTCCAATTGTTTTTCCAATGATGTCCCTTTATGCTAAAGCTTCGGGGACGACCCCCAAAACTTGACTACCTTCTAAAAATACAGTTATTGACACACCTCCCATTAATCCCAGACTGCCTCTCCCATATACTAAATGAATCTTTCTCTCAGCTAGTACCTAACCAAGATGATTTGCTGATTCTAAAAACTATTTTTCTTTCCCAAGACTAAATCCACCAAAAACACAAATATTTCTTATGTGATGAACTGAGGAACTTTCCATTTCTACACACTTCGATATTTTTTGAATGTATGGGTTAAGTAGAAATGGAAGGAAGGAAGAGAGGATTTTATAGATGAAAAATTAAAAAGACAATCATACCACCTATATGTAGGCCAGCTGGAGTCTTACACTCTCTCTCTCTCTCTCTATTTATTTATTTATTTTTGAAAAAACATGTGTATGTACAAGTAGTTGTGGTTGTGGCTCACATCTTCCCTTAGTTTTACGTCCAAGAACGGCTTAAACGCCTTTTATGGGTCGGGGATAGGCTTCCCATCCAGTTTTCTTAAAAACTGGCAAACAGGGTC